TTGTGGCTTTGACGTCCGAGCTGATCTTTAACAGACGCCTTGAACGCAGGGGGCTTTAGTGCTTCGACTAAATATCCTACTACCTTCTTGGGCTCGGCTTGTACCATGTCATCCATGTTCAGCTTATCCACAATCTCGTAGAAGTCCGCCATAAGACGCGACAGTCGTGACTCAGCGTCTTGTAGATTCGTGTCCATGCATAGGTTCTTTACCTCGCGATCCAATGTTTTGTAGGCTGTGTTGTCCGGAATCCTTGCCGACAAAAAATAATCTCGCCACTCCGACTCCGTCACATCCTTTTCTTGATTGAACAACTCGAATTGACAAATTCGTACCATCGTGCCTTGCTCAATACATGCACTTAAAGGCATTACAAAAATCTTTGTTTGAGTACCTTGATTTAACGCCTGAATCCGTCTGGAATAGATAGCGTAACTATCCATGAAGTCACGTTTCTCTTTCTTTGAGCTGCCTCGGTAAATGGGAGGAACCGGCAGATTTGTTCCTGCTGCCACGGTGACAGAAGGTACTTCTGGTGGTCGTTGGTCCACTATAGGCGCAGCACCCTGAGCAAAAGCTCCCCAACGTGCCTGCAGATGTGGTTGCACGGCTTCAGCCAGGCTCTCGAGGCGCTGGCCTTGCAATACAACGGCTTCCTCAGCAGCACGGAGCAAACGGTATTGCTCGTCCAGGTACTGCCGGTGTTCGTCCATCTGACGCTTCATCTCCTTTTGTTGCTCTAACAGTTCCGACTGTCGGTCGTGTTGGGCCTGGAGATACTCCGATGTCTGCGCCGCAAGTCGGTCCTGCTGGCGCTGGACATGGCCAAGCTGCTCCGCGGTCTGCTGTTGCACCGCTGCCGAATGATGAGCTAGAGCTTCCACTTGGCGACTTGTCCTTGATTCGCCACTTTGTATCACCGCTGTCCTTGTAGTCGTCTCCTCCAACCGTACGTCACGGTCCGAATAAGGAGGGAGCGGCGGGTACACTGCCACAGGCATTCCACCGGGCAGAATGTGGCACCATTGCCTCGTCGGCGTCTTCCATGCTGAGCGCGACCCCCAGCTAAA